TATATCTATATATATATATATATATATCATTACGAGTTGGTGTTAATGCGCTGCACCAATGTGAACACGGCCTTACAAATAATTCAGTTGAATGTACATTTCGGCTTATTCTAGAAATAGTGTGTGAGGGACACGGATGGCTTCTGATCACAACTGGCCTAACTCATTCAGCTGATCTACATGTATCTGGGTTATAGAAAGGGGGGTGCCTGTGATATCTCTATGGTGGCCCTATACTGTGAATCAACCAATTAACTCTTACACAATTCATTGCCTAAAAAATATACCAACATCACGTATCATGACATTGTGTATATCTGGATGTATGACGCTAAAATATGCAGATGTCTTTTTCCCTTTGTTTATGGAGTATTTGGATTAATATTTTTCTGTGCTCTTCTCTCCTGTAGACCCATAAAAATGGTTACCACTCCCATCTAAGTGATGGGAGTGGATGTTAGCATTCAGAATCTCATCTCTGGTGTGCAAGGCATCATGAGAAGTTCATAGACACACTGATTCCACATAATTAAAAATGTAATAGTGAAACTTAAGGCGCATCTTTCTCTTTCCTAGTCCTAATTCTTCTTAATATCCTTTTTGCTGTTTGCACTTTGTTCCTGCATTGCATTAACAGTGTTATTTGCAAACAGCTTATTCCTGTTTGCAAATAAGGAAGATGATCCCCTAGTCATAGGGAGCAGTGTCTGAGACATATTTTATATAGTTGTAGTTAGTAAGAATGTATTCTTTTTTGCTCCAACTCGGATCAAAAAAAGTACTTCGTATTCAACTACTAACTACCTCATTGTGCTCTTTTGGACTCTATTGCCATACCCATCTCACCTTTTTCACCAATATGTGGTGATTAAGGACAGAATATGGAAGGACTTCTTAAAGCGGACCTTCACATTTTACACATCAGCAGAATGGGTGACCACCACTTGGATCAGGATGGGAGGGATCATCACTGGGATCAGGATGGGGGACCACCGCTTGGTTCAGAATGGGTGACCACCACTATGATCAGGATGGGGGACTACCACTGGGATTAGGATGGAGGGACCACTACTTGGATCAGGATGCTGTTGCACACATATTTTAATTAAACATTAAAAAATTGTTGTTACTCAAGGAGCCAAGACACTTTTACTAGTAAACATCCAAAGCAGCATTTGTTGGCTTTATTATGAGCAGTATTTTTACATTTTCATGCTTCTTTTACAGAGGTAAATGTATAGCAGTCAAGCAAAAACATCTTTTCTTTACAGTTATATAGAGCACATGCAGATTTTAAAAAAAAAGTGCTTGTGCTGTGCCTTCCTCCTACTGAATTAGAATATAATGCAAATGCTATTTTATTTATGCACAGCCTGTGCGCTATGAAATGCAGTAACAGTCTCTGTTGCATAAACCTGAACATTAAAGCCTTTTTAAATTTCTCAAACCTCACAACATGTGTAATTTTCTGTATAAACTCATATACCAAGCGCAAATGTTCAGTATTTACTGTAACCCCAGTTACACGACTAGAACATTACTGTAAAACAGTGGTCCTCAACCTGTGGGTCGCAAGCCACAGTTGAGGGGGTCGCCATGTGCCTTGTGCTGTGCTAGGTAAGAGACTCCTTAGCATCCTCCTAGTGCAGCAGTGTCAGTTCTTTTTCATGAAAAAAGTGTGCCTTTGCACAAAAAAGGTTGAAAAACACTGTCCTAGATGGTGCTGCAGCAGCAGCGGCCAGAGGGGATCTGAGAGAGGGAACTGGGCAGGAGTGAGGGGAGAGCACACTCAGATACTAGTATTGGTGCACCCCTAAATTTTACCATTGGGGGTCACCACATCTTGACAAATGTTACCAAGGGGTCCCGGCCCTACAAAGATTGAGAACCACTGCTGTAAAACATCAGCCACTTATTCCTTGATTGCAGCTTTTAACACAAATATTTTAGGTTCTGAGCTCCCTCCAGTGGAAATATGAAGATTTGCAGTTATACAAAAAATGAATGTCACTTGTTCTGTTGAAGAATCTGAGGATGAATCATAGTGTTCCATGCAGACAGCTTAGTAGGCACAAGAGCTCCACAACTATCATGCCTGTCATGAGGGTAGTAATAATAGTTATTATAATATATTGCTCATGAATATGCAGGTATAGATAATTCATACGTGCGTTTTTTTATTTTATTTTGCCGTATATTGTGTGCTGTGTATAGTGTGTTATACATTACATTCCCTAGACCAGCTTCCTCGGCACTCCAGCTGTAGTGAAACTACAAATACCATAGGTTTATTGGCTCCTATCCAAATTGTCCCTGTATGTATGCATGTGAGATAGGGACCTTAGATTGTAAGCTCCTTGAGGGCAGGGACTGCTGTGAATGTACATTATGTAAAGGGCTGCGTAAATTATCGCCACTATAAAAATGCCTGCGTAAATTATCGCCACTATAAAAATGCCTGCGTAAATTATTGGCACTATGAAAATACCTGTAATAAAAAAAATATCATGCCT